CTTCCCATGTGGATTATATATATATCACTATCCCACTTGCTCTTCTGGAGTACTGGGACAAATAGCTCAACCATTTCCTTTAGGTTAGGTTTTAACTGCGAGAGATACAGGAACCTCCTAATGCTTGACAACACCTCTCAGCTCAGGTAAGCAGAATGGGAAAGCAATCCTCCTCTGCATGCCGTGCACATTCCATGAGCTCTCTGGATGGAAGGCTCCTCACTCTGCTCATCTCAGGGGGTGGTGAGAAGGAGCCAGCCCTGCACGTGACAGTAGCACATGACGGGGGGGAAGTCGTGGTCACAAGCGTGAAAGCCAGCAGACAGACCACACAGCTCCTTCACAGCCGGTTCAGGGCAGTTACCGCAGTTCTCTACCATTTTTCCCCAAAACTTTACCCCCCGTTTTGATTATACGAAGGCTCAGCAGATCAACAGGAAGCCGCACAAAGGAAAGGACTGTCATTTCAAGATGTTGGTGGCTGAAACCATGCTTGTGTATCTAATCAGGCTACAGTTGGGCTGACAGGAAACCTATGGTCGCAGCAGTGCAGCCAGAGGCTTGCACTAACACAGTGCTCAGCAACCCCGGCCTGAAGACACTTGTACCTGCCATCAGTGGCCCATTGAGCATGCAAGGGAAACTGCCTGCTGAGGCTGTTCACACAGGACACGGCCAGCATACCTGAGCAAATCTGCCTAAGGAAGGTTGCTTGCATGGAGATATCATTGGGAGCAACTCAGATCTGCGTATTTATCTGCTCATTCAGAGTCGTGACAAAACCATTTCTTAGGTACCAGTGCAGCCAGAGCTGATGGGAGCCACGAGGAGGATGGAAACACATGGCAAGGATCAAAAGCTGGCAGATGTTTCCGCAGAAATTCATCAAAACCACATGTCAAAGCACCCGTCACACACCGACTGTTGGAGGAGAATGATTCCTAGAAGTGACCACACGTAAAGGGCTTGCACTTCTCCTGTGAAAAAGGATCATAAATCGTGGACACAATGGGAAGAACACTGCAACCTAAGGTCATTGAGCTGCAAGAACAAGTCTGACCCTACCATTATCACAACTATGCATGACAATCTCAGAAGATTTTAAGATTACACCTGCAAATACTTTGAGGATGGGATGCTGGAAAGCCCTTCTGTTCCTAGGACATACAAAACCAGCTGAAGTGAGACATAAAATTAAGGACTAGGCCTGCTCATTGCTTCCACTGGACTTGGTAGTGCAGCTCTTTGTACTTCACCTTCTAAAATGAGCGACTGGTTCGCAATGAAGACAGAAGGAGGAAGAGAAGATTCTGAGAGCTTTACAAAATCTCAAGAATAATAATTCAGGCCTCACTCAAAGCGAGGAGTCATTAAACCAGCAGAAGCCTTCTTCTCAAACCAACAGACAGCATCAATGTGTGGTAACTGCTGAGACACTCACATGCATTTGAGCTGGAAAAATGCACTTGCTTACTACCTGTTCTCATATGCTATTAAGAATCCAAACCCTTTCCGTGTCACTTTTCACACGGCAGTTTTTGAGAGGGATGCTCCTACACCAAATGCACCCATTAAAATGAACAGCAGATTCCCCATGGGGAATAATGGCAGAGAATGGCTGCTCTCTAAACATAAGCTTCTTTGAAAAACTCATTATTTCAATGATTTTTTTGTCACCTTCTCTGTACACAGTATTTTTTAATCCCACTCAAACCATCAGCCTGCACAGAACTCTCCTGCCCACAAAGCACCAGATGTCTACCTTCAGCCTCCCTCGTGTAAGAACAAAACCACATGGGGGACAGTTGGTTTCAATGCTAACATGTCAAGAGGTTCATGCATTAGCTTGTTATTTATGTAAACAGCTTCCTCTAAAACAAGTGATGTTATACAGGACTATAAAGTATTTATTTTAGAAGAGTATAAAGAGCCTTTTTGAATAACTACCATGGAGTACCAGTACAGAAAGCAGGAGGGTAAATAAAACAAATTAATTAGTTAGAACAAGCAATCAAGTAATGCTATAAGTAAGGGCACAGAATCTTGTGCGTGTTTGTTTACATCTAACATGCCATCGCTTTGAGTCCTAAATCGGGCGCTGTCAGCATTACAAATGTACTCCATTCATTATTTGGAAAAATGAAGCAAAGACCTAAAACGAATACTTTCTTTCGGGTTTGTTGTTTTCAGAAAAAAAGGGGTCAACGTGCCTAGGAAGCTCTGGTTGTTTAAGCACACCAGCAATTCACATCTCACACCAAGCTCCATTACAGGCAGCAGCTGTGGAAAGGCAAAGCAGGGAGCTTTGCCTGAGGAGAAATCATCCTCAGCAGAACTTACCCTCTGGCCATAGAATCCAAATGTCTCTGAGAGTCAAGGTTCCTATTTCTAAGATTGCAGAACCTTAGAGTTTTCCAGGATGGCTGAGCCACGGGATATAGTTCCCCTTTCTGAGCACTTAGCTGCATTTTAGATCCATCTTTAAGAAGAATACAGAACTTGAAGAAAAACCTAACAGGGTTTCTCTCCACTGTCTTCTGCATGCTCCCTATGTACTATGGGTTGGGGAAAGGCAAAGAGACACTGCTGGGACTGGGGCTGACCTGCGAGCTATTCCTACCCCAGGCTGGCATTTCTCTTCCCAGAGAATCAGTGGGTGAAACATGAAGTTTTGCTGAAGACTCCAGCCCTGACTGCTCTCCAGATACAGCTCCTCCTCTGGAAAGAACAGACTTCTTCCTCATCCAGTCACTTCCTCGAGGCCCTGTCTGTCCTGCTATCAAAGGAAAAGCTTCTCCCACCAAACCCTTAACTTCACTGAGAGCTCTCCTAATCTCCATACTATCACTCCTTGACTGCTTCTAAGCAAGCCCTACCTCCCCGAAAAGAAAATCCAGAGGACTAGATGTCTCTAGGACACAATTACCCTTTCCATAGATAATCAGAAATTATCGCATGGGAATTAATTATCAAGGTAATCAGAGATAATATTGCAAGCACCAGCTGTCAGCCTGCTCTGCACAAAAACTACGACATCCTGGCAGTACCACAGACACAGACCACAAAAGCAACAAAAAGCAACCTGGAATGTGAGACTGCCGTTCCCCCATCATGATTTCAGGAGTCAGAAAATAGCTCCCACAAATACAGATGTCCTCATTCATCCCGGTGGACGTTAAGTTTTGGCTTCAGAAAAAATGGTCTGGCATTAAGAAGAATGAAAAATCAACAGTCAAAGCTGAAATGAGCACAACTATCTGCTTAGAGACACCCTTTGTTAAGCATAATTAGCACCAGATGAGAAGTTTTATTAGCCTCAGACATTGCTAATTATTTTCTGTTGTGACCATAAACATTCATCTGCATAGCATTAGCCTATCACCCACAGTAAACGATATCGTGCTTGTGATGAACCAGGCTCAGGTTGAGATCAAAACCACTTGGGAACAGTGATGAAGTAGTGTTCAAAGCTGCAAAGTGCCAGGAATGCTCCCTTGTGTGCCTCACCCCTCTGTGATGTTTTGAATCTGTTCTGACAATTAAAGGTTAATGACTTTAAACACTAAGACTAGACCATGCAACAAAACACATGGGAACATAGATAAACTGACATTTACACGGCACTTAAATGGACATATTACAGCATAAGCTTAATTGTGTAAAAATTCCCTAATAAAAGCCCCACCAAAATAAACTACTTAATAGAGAATGACATTTGGGGGTGGAGAAACATGAGTCAGTAGAAGCACTTCTAAAATGAGAAAGTGCTTCTAAAAACTTGAAAACAGAAAAGCTGCCCCAGTGAGCAATAAATACCGAATTTCCATTTCGTAGAGTTTTGCATTTTGGGAATCACTGACAAAATGGAACAGCTTGGCTTTAAACCAAGTTACAAGTGGGAAAATACAGGTTCTCTCTAAATTGGTTTATAAGGGAAGATAAAAACATAGAATTTAGTGACTCTAGACTGTAGAGATATTAATGAAGAGCACCAAGCTTGAGTAACTCTTGTGAGTTATTAAAAAAAAAGAATTCCAGAAAAGCAAGGATATAGACTATGGTCTCTGACTCTAGGCACAAGAACTCCTCTAAAATGAATTAAAGCATGATATCATAGTGATAAGACTGAAGAAACATATCGTACAAGCGGAAAAAAAAGTGAAGGAAATAATTCTGCAGGAAATGTCATAAAAATCTGAACAACACAGTGCCTATTGGAAGCCAAACGGGCATCAAATACAAGAAACCAGTGTTTATTCCCTCCCTTCTGGAAGCTGAGATACAGATAATTGATTCTACTGAAGAATCATTTTGTCATCAATCCCCAATTAAACTTGCACTGCCCTGAGATTCAGATAAGAAGGAACAGCAAAATAAATGTTATCTGTGAAGTTGCTCACAAATCCACTCTTAACAGTGTTGAGGGTTGTTAGAGGGTCATTGGATATACCTAGAAATAAAAGAGAGAGCAGTAGCTCACTGACAACCCTCAGGTCCAAGGCTCTGAGCTATCTGCATAACTCCTTCCCTACAGTTTCTACAAGATGGGCAGCAGGGTGCCCTGTGCCACAGCAAAGCTCTGATCAGCAGCTTTCCCCAGGTTCAGCATCCTTTCATTCCCCAGGAGGGGAATGTGCAGCCAAGAAGAGATGAAGCAGTGTCTGAACACGCTTCCTAGACTGTGAGACCAAGTGGAAAATATTTACCCGATTTTTTTTTTTAATCCCACTTCCCTGTACAAGCTGCCAAAAAAGCAACCGGTCCCCTTTTGGGAGGTAATCGTTCCTTGCAGAAGGGAGCTGCTCTTCCCCAGGTTTATAGAGGTCAGAAGCAAAGCAGCTGCTACCCAAAGCTGTGCAGAGGTCCCAGCCCTTGCAGTTCTGGTACAGAGCTAAAGCAGAATGCAGGAGGACAGGCAGGCTTCAGAAGGAAGTTGTTTTATTTTTTTTAGAAGAGTTGATAATCTGTAACTATTTCAGAGCAAAGTTGAAATGCTTGTAATGAAGTAACTGAAAGGTTTGGCTCCTTGGACTGGCAAAAGAAAGCACACCTCCAGGTTCTTCTGGTTCAACTCCAAAGCGCGCCTCTTGGACTGGGCATTCAACAGCATGTGAAGGGGGGAAAATTCTGTCCAAACAGGTGTTTCCTGGGAGACCTTTGACCAAGCTCTTCCAAGCTAAGCTGTTTGAATACTTTGGAGAAGCCCCATGTCTCACACCATCTGTTGGCAAGTCACAAGTCTGGGCAGACCACAGGTTTTGTCAGCCCAAGGACTCTGAAATTCTGCCTCTTGCACAGGAAGGCCATCATTTTTCTCGCATTTTTCCTTTGGCAGTACACAGGACTGCAGGCATGAGAAGATGCTTTCAGCCACCCATGCACCACCACCTCTTGTGGACAATCTGCCCCACAGAACTCGGCCTGTGAGGTATTTGGTAGAAGAGCTCAGCACTTCTGAGCGCCCAGGCTGCAGGTGAAGAACACAGCAATGGGTTGAGCCCACAGGCCCAACTAACTCGGGCTTCCTTCAGGAAGAATACATCCCATGACAGGAGATTAGCTGTCCCATGACTACATAACCCACACAGCAGCATGTCTAATGGGGTGAACGAGTTCTCTTAAACCTCAGCTGCTGTTTGCTTGAAGAGCAGAAGCTAACCCTCCCGGAGCAGGGCCTGTTTCAGGCAGCTCCGCAGGTGACGACGGCACAACCTTGTTTCCCCAAGCACCTTCCTGGTTATGACTTCCTCCCCTGAGACACTCTTTTAATCTCGAGTCCCATTGTTGTTTCTCAGTTCCTGAGCTGAGAGTCCCTCTGTAAAACCACTTTGGGTTAGCTCAGAGGATTCCGGGTCCAGAAGCCAAAAGGCTCCGTCCTCATCTCACGACCAACATATTTACAGTGTGGTGACTTCTCACAGATAACTTTCTTCTGCCCTTTACTCTCCACGAGCACCCCAACATCTATCTGACCAACAGCATTTAGGAATTATTAGAGAACCTTTCGTTCCAAAAGAGTGCCAGAACAGTGTGAAAAGGGAACTACAGCATGCTCTGCCCTTTAAAGATTGCAAGTGTTTAATCCAAAATGCTTGTGTCATATAGAACACCTTCCCAAAATAGCTTGCTGACATACACAGGGTGACCAAACCAAATGTCCAAAGCAACAGACCAGCCTGCAGTAATAACAGCTTCTGAGGAGGTCTCAACAACAGCAGGAGACAAACCAAACACTTAACAAGATGTGTTCAGAAGCAAAGTAGCTGTCTCTTCATTTTTTTCCCCACGTATTTCGCTCAATTTAACAAGTACTGCCAAGCCAAATTCTACCCGAGGTCTTGGAGGAATACAAAGCAATGAATTGTAGGTAGCAACTTTGAACAAACCCTGGGAAGCTGAGGGAGATAGTCCTTCTTCATCACTGCTTCTCTGTGGCTGCTTGTTTTGCATTTTAAACCAATGAGACTGCTCCCAGTGGCAAAAGTAAGCCTGTAAGTGACAATCCACCATTACTCAGACCCACTACCTGTGGGGACAAATAATAACAGCAAGCTGATTTTTTTACTTTTACTTTTTTTTTTTTTTTTAAATAGGAATGGCTTTTCCAGCAGTTTCAAGTAGGCCCCGATGTTACCAGGTTTTAATATGATAATCTGGAGGACTCTGGAAAGCACAGAGGTTTTGGAGAAAAGGAAGGTTTCTGTTTGTTTTTATTATAAATTTAAACTTTGCTCCCCTCCCCCTAATGCCTCCTCACTCACTCAGATCAGGCTGGGTATCCCATTGGAAAGTTCCACAAAAGGCTAAAAGAACAGAAGGCAAATTTCTCCCTTTTTCCCTTTTTTTTTTTTTTTTTTTTTTTCCTGCTTGATGAGTGTTGTTAACAGCAGGACAGATTTAAATGGAATCTCAGACTGGCATCTTGCTGACCTCAATCCCAGCTGGCTAAACCTTCGTAACACTGCTGTCCTTGGCATCTAACAGAGAGCAGACATCAATTTAACTGATTGACTGCAAAACTGTGAATCTGGTATGAGGAACTAGATCCATTCCACTGCCTTGCATACTGGATAAAAGACTGCTTTATTTCTCTCTCTCTCCTCCTAGTACTTCATCTACAGTAGCAGGCTTGATACATCCATCAGCGCACAACAACTCCTCTGAGGCTGCTGTGCTCACAGGACTGTGTGCACCACACGCAGTTCATTTTGGAGAGAAATGCTTCTGCTTCCTCCAGAGACATCTGTTTTAAAGGGACCTTCAGGTTTTTAAAGTGCATGCCAAACCATCACACCACTTCTTTATCAGGAAAGGCCTTCCCCCCCCCCCCCCCCCCGTTTTTTTTTTTTTTTTTAATTAAGGCAGAACAGCAGAAGGTCGCAAATCTTATGTTAACAAACAGCCAAGTTCAAAACCGGTTCAAACAACTATGATACAACTCATAAAATAATTATACACACCTGCAACACAAATAGAACATAACAGAACAGAGTCCATTACCTGTGCACGTGTCAATTTGACTATCGTCTGTTTTCCACTCCAGTAGCTCACTGGGGGACTGCTCCCCTCTTCGATTTATTATCTTTGAAAAGCCACTTGAGAGAGTTGAGAAGATGCCACGGACAAAATAGCCATGCTGCTCACAATCCACAGAGCGCACTGCCTGCAGAAAGGGCTTGGCATTCCTGCTTGCAGACTGCGGCACGGGTTCAGACAGAGAGCGGTTGAAGGGAACCCGCGGCGATCTGGTCCTTGCCTGGAAAAGCATCTCTGTTGAATCTTGTTGGAGATCTTCGGTGCTGGTAGCATCCATGCTCGTAGAACTTTTGACAAGACTCGAATCGTTACCTTCCCCTCTAAGGCTGCAAGAGCGCGCTCTTTTGCTTATCCTCCAGGGAAGACGAGGATGAGTTTGCCACCTGTAGGCTCCGAGCGCTTTCTCTGGGTCCAAAACCATTTGTTTGCTCATTTTCTTGCTTCTCATTCGGTGGTGCCAATGATAGTCCTTCAAGGCAGCAGTGCCAGCATCTTGTTCTGATAAAGACCTCCTAAAGGCCCTGGGAGAGAGACTGTAATACTTTTTAAAAGCACTCATCTTCCAGCTCTTGAATTCCAGATTTCAACTTACATCTCTCATCACTCAGAAGTCACATAGCTGTAGTTCCTGGCTCAGCATTTTCATGCCCAAATCATCTTCGCTGCCGCGACCAAAGGACAGCAGAGGTTCTTCCTGAAGAGCCTGAGCATCAATCCCAGCAATTCCTACATCTCAGCAAGGAGGACAAGCCCACACCTACAGCAAGCCGCTCTCCAATGCCGCACTCAGCCTCACTATGCCTGCTGCTGCTTCCTGCATTGTCGCAGCTCTGCACCGAGCTCGCAGGAAATGACTAAAAGAACCCAGCCATAAAAACCCACAGTGGTGATCTGCACCAATCACACTTCACTTTTTTTTTGGTAGACATTAAAGATTTGGTTAAACAAAGGGGAAAAAAAAAAAGAATGTGAAAGTAGAGTCACAGCTCTAGAGCCACAGCAGTCTCCAAAAAGTGTTAAAATTGCAATGTTCTGCTGAGGAGCATGCACATTATGTTCTTCAGTTAAAGAGGACTGTACATCAAATAGAGCAAGACAACATAAAGGCAATCCTTAGAGTTTATATTTACCACAAGAACCTTGCATCACCCCAGAGTTTCCTTCTAAAGAGCAGTAAAATACTCAGAGTCATCACAATTGGGTGCTGGAAGCTTCACAGAGAAAAGGCGAGGAATGGAGTAAGGAGAAGGAATGCTGTAACTTAATATAGCAAGATTGTAAATACACCAAAGGCAAATAAGTAAAGGGGAGGAGAAAGAGCAGAGGGTGGGTGGGACTTCATCCATCATGCACTGAAGCAGAGGTTGGGAAAGCCTTCAGGCATTATTCTCCAGCCAACAGAACATGATAGAGGGCATCTCTTTTTCCTTCTTCCTTCCTTTCAAAAAAAAAAAAAAAAAAAAAAAAAAAAAAAAAAAAAAAGAAAAGAAAAAATAAAAAGAAAAGGGCTTTATTTTCATATATCTAGTTGGAATAAGAAGGGTGGAAAAAATAGTCCTATCTGCTTAATCGAGAGGAAAAAAAATCCCCTCGCCTTCTCTACAATTTAAGAAACAGCTGACTGTTTTAAAATCTCACAAAGAAAATATCTGCTGGTGAACTCAGAGCATGCTTGCCAAGTTTTAGACCAGAACACTTAAATCTCAAGTCTACTAAAATCCCTGAAAATAGGAGGTTTATAATGGAAACGCTGACAGACCCTTGGCAATCAAGTGACAATGAAAACCACTTCTCTGGTTAAATAAAATGATAATCTGCTCTGGCAGACCAATAAAGCTTAACTGACCCACTATGGGATCCCGCCTTTAAGTTCTGACAGCATTCATCAGCCAAAGTACATTCCTGACAGCTGCAGATGCAAAACTTCCTTCCTTCTGTATGTGTATCGAAGAGGGTGTAACTGTACAGAGGCTGCTTGAAGCTGAGACACTGCATTACGAATTTTGCATCAAAACCACTGAAGCTGACTCTTCTCCTTCATTGGAGTTGTGCTGCTCAATACACAAGCCCTCAATGGTAACACATACATAAACAAAAGCTCTGCTGCAGTTTCCATACAGGGTAAGGATCCTCGGGGAGGCACAAGGCTGAGTGCTCCAGCACGACAATGAGATGGAGAACTCACCAGGAAAAAACTTAGCTTGCTCCTCTCCAAGCAAACCGGGAAACATCTGATTTTTGATCCCAGACATTGCTGAAAATGTGATGCAGCTCATCTTGTCCAATGGACTCAATCCTTTGTGTCGAGGTCTTATAAATAATTCCCAACTTGACCCTTACCAATCACTGATAGTTTTTCTCCTCCCTCTCACAGGGTACAGAAACACGGGAGCCTGTGGTGCTGAAGACTGAGGCAAAGACAGCATTAAGCACCAAGACCGTTTCTGCTGTTACTTGGTCACCAACCTCTTTCAGCAGTGAATCTTGGTTTTCTTGTAGAGCCTGTGGTAACATAAGCAGCAACAACCCTTTGAACAAATGCTTTGAATTACCCAGTCTGGTAAAATAGGCTTTATGGAACTTTAGAAATAAGTGTAAGTAGATCTGACAGACGACGCTGTGGTTCATTCTAATGGCACAAGCCACAATCAGCAGAGAAAACTGAGAATGTGTGGTAGGTTTCTGGCCAGCCCTGCAAGACTTGCACAAGGTTTCCACTAACACATGTGCACCAACTTTTGGGAGCACACAAGGGCAGGAGAGGACAACACAGACAGCTGGTATAGTAGCTGAAGTCTTCCTGGGATCTGCTTGCTGCAGATTTCCAGCATGCTTTGTAGCAGCTACTGAGCTGAGCACTGACATAAAGCATGTTTTTTGCAACAGGGCTTTAAAGCACGTGTGCTGGATCAGAGGATTGGGTACGACCAACATCAGTGACTCAGATCAGACAGTCCACCACCAGTTACAGCAACATTATTCTAATGCAGGACTTCAGCCTCGCAGCAGCATGGACAGAAGGGAAGCTAAGGTGGGACGTTGGCCTTGGCATGCAGCCACCGGTGATCACAGAGCTGCTCTGATCCTGTGTCACCTTCACATCCTTACCCTGTGGGAACCCAAAAAGTAAGACTGTTTCACAACCCTGTTACGCAGATTGTGAGCACAGATCTCTCATCTCCAGAGAGGGAACACACAGACACCAGCAGGGTACCAACTTACAGACTGTCACACCATGCAAAACCCCTTATGAGTGAATTTCCACTTTAAATCCTTGTTATCAGTGTGGCCAGGGCTTGGGCAGCAGTTCTATATGGAACTCACACAAAAACACAGGCTTCATTAAGCACTCAACAAGGAGCTCGAGAACATCAAAGCCACAGTTTAAGCTCAAATAATGTCAGAAAGGTCTTTGCTTTCAACTTTTGATTTCATTTTTGATTTCTTGTCGCCATTGCTCAGATGAACACGTTCCTTGATCAAAGAAAAAGATTGCCTTCACTGAGCAGGGATCTCCCTGGGTGCTACACAGGGGACAAAATGGTCTTTCTCAAAGGAGCTCTAAATAAGGCATGAGGCTTGCACGTTATTGATATAAAACCACTGACACACAAGTTTGCTTAGTCTACAAACTAGCCAATTCTTTTAAACTGTTAACTCAAATATTTTAGCTTGGGCTCCAAGTCAAACCGGATCCTTTCTTCCTTCTGCACATCAAACACAGACAGGATAAGGCCCAAACAAAGCCTTCATCTATCCTCACCCAACATCACCCAGGTAAAACCTCACTTGGCTTCAGCATCTCGTTTCCAAGTGAGATGCAAAAAGGTAATCCATGTAACAGAGCCACTCGCTCCTTGATCCAAGGTCCCTGTGTGAAAGCTCGAGTTGTTTCGGAGCAGCAGCTTATCTAGGGAAGCATTTGCACAGTCAGCTATCACAAAGCAGTCACCTTGCCCAGTGACTGCTGGCACACCGCACAGTCACCAACCACACAGAGCCACCCACTCGGCCGCCAGCAGGGAAAATAATTGCACAGGAGGAAAGGAGCTTGTCAATTTGCTGGAATATTTTCACTCATGCTCCTGCTTTTATTACCTACTGCATAAAAACATGCTCCTCGACTGGCAAATTTTCTTCAAGGTGTTGGCTTTTTTTTTTTGCTTCGGTATGCTTGCAGATCATTGTGCCACATCATTCATTAAGCCTTTTCAGAAAATTACTATTTTCTTCCTAACAATCAAGTCACTTAATCATCTGATTTGACATGTTTAACAGCATATATTTCGCTGTTCCTAGATATCTAAGTAATTTATGCCAAAAATGCAGATTTGCTAGACTGAAATATAACTGTATTCCAGCTTTAGCATTACATTGGGTAAACAATCTTGCCTAAATTTATAACAACATTTCACAGAAAACTGACACAAGCAGCATTACGTTTTCACTGAGCATACGAAGATAATTCTTTGGCAGCAGACTCCTGTGTGGGAAGTCCTCTCTCCACCATTCAGCTTTCCAAAAATCCTACACAGCTCTGCTGCATGGAGTTCAGAAATCCCTCACGCTATCCGCTGCTTAATAAATACCAGCAGCCAATTAAAAAATAATAACAACAGAGAAAACAAAAGCAGCATTGCCAAGCAGCTGGAGGGAGAATGTGTCTCTGATGACAAAAACTTTTAACACTGCCTCGCTCGGAAAGCTGTCTTGTGTTTGAATAAAGGCACGCGCTAAAGCGCAACGTTTGGGTTCATCTTTAGTACAGCTTACACCGAGAAAAAGATGAATTGAAACCTTCCATGATTGAACTACTCCATTTAAAATTAGTTTTGGACCAAGCACAAACTTACCAGCTTCTCATTTTCTAAAATATTTTCCAGGAGGGGGAAGTGGGGGTAGAGCAGAGTGAAATGAAAGAAGAAGAAAGCACCAAACCCCTACCGCCATCCCTGAAGGCTCATTCTCCATACTTGGGACTTTGACCAAGTCCTCTCCTTGAAATCACAACCACAGAGGTACAGAAAGTCTTTGCGGAAGATTCCAGGTTGCATTCCCAGCTACCAGCTAACAAATGGGTTCTTCAGTGCATGGAGAAGTGAATCACATTGCACCCCACATCCTCCCCCGACTAACCACAAGTGATTGGGCTGGTCAGCCACCCGACTTTTCAGCCCGGATCCCTTTAGCGCCTTTCCCCTTCAGCACCAGTCCAACGCTCACCACATTGACACCATCCATGGAGAAGTAATCAATATATAAAGCAGAAATCATCACAAAACTCTTCCAGTTGATCCAATTTGACACTTAGCTAAACAGCACAGCAGAAGATGAAAGATTTTTCCTTCCCTTTAAATTACAGACTTTTCAAACTATTAAGTTCTGTTTATGCGAGGCTTAGTAATTAATGACTTAACATCCCCTTCCCATCCCCTATCACCAACACGCATCTGTTTCCCCCCCACCAACATTTCCTGCAGGTGAGTATCACTTCTCCTTGGAATTGCACGCACCCATGTACCTGACTACTTCATGCTTAGTGCACTGTGTTACACAGAGAACAAACAAAATGGTATCTCTGTAGCATTTGGGATCACAGTGACTCGAAGACTGAGGCTTGCTGAAACTAGAATGGGTACGTCTAGAATACTGATAGTTTACTGAGTCCAAATTAGAGTCCCCAAGAGCAAGAGCCGGGAATGTGCCTCAGTGACTGCACAGGAAGCTCACCAGTCCCAGAACCTGTCCCAAAAACACAGGTTGCTCTCCCTAGCACTATGCTGAGAATGCAGTGCATCTACAAATGAGCTAAATAGTGACACTGGCACATCTACATACCAGACAGCATCTATTTTTTATTATCTGTTGTGACACTCCTGTGCTGAGGCACCCTGTAACTGCTGTACTGCCATCACATTGCATTTCCAAGTCCTATCTTCACTACAGCAAAAGATAGATAACCACCAACTCAAACATGCATGATGAGGAGGGACGGCGGTCTGCTTTCTGAAGGAAGGTAGTGAAAAGGTCCTAAACACATCTGCTCTCTAACCTCCTTGCAAAACTTCTGCCATTGCCCTGCTGATACAGACTTGGAGGAGGTTTTTCCACACAAAGGGTGGTGAGGCACTGGAACAGGTTGCCCAAGGAGGTCTTGGATGCCCCATCCCTGGAGGCATTCAAGGCCAGGCTGGATGAGCCTGGTCTGCTGATTGGCAACCCTGCACATAGCAGGGTGGTTGAAACTAGATGATCATTACGGCCTTTTTCAACACAGGCCATTCTATGATTCCATGAAATTCCCCACTTGAAAGTTTCCTGCCTTCCTTTTTCCATGCTGTTCCTGTGAACCAAGTGAGAAGCTGCTACAGCCCCAACAACTGAGCAGAGACTGATTATACAGATTTATGAGACGCTGGGCTCTGGATCAGTGCCAAGAAAAGTTAGTAAGAAAATCCCATTTCAGTACATCAAGAACAAACCTGTAGAACGGCGATGCCAGATTTTAATTTCACTAGCAATCTTCTTTGTTGTCGACAAAACATGGCTCGTGCCAAGATTTGAGGGCCATAAAAACGTACCTGCAGACGCCAGCTAAGTGCGCTCAGAAGCGCAGCAAGCCCACACACAGCTGTGAGCAACAGCACTCCAAGCAGCCACGTATTTTGGAAACACGTGCTGGTGCAAATAAACAAACATATAACCTGAAGGCAAATACTGGCAACTATTCTGCAGCACAGAAAGAACAGCAAAAAGATTCATTGGTGTTGACTGGCAGCACTGCCTTCTAGTTTACAGAGCTGCAGCCACAAGTCTCTGGGCTGGACAAGCCTGAAATCCTTAGCAGTGAGTGACAGCTGTCCT